TAATCTGAAACTTAAAATGTTGAACTGTAGAGTACTGTTCAAAAGCTTAAGGTCAGTATTTTTTTTTTGTTATACATTTTTTTTTTATTTGGGAGAAATTAGCAAATAAATCTGAACTCAGAAATAAAACATTAAAAGTAGTCACTGTAGCATCAGTACCTTTTTCATGTTCATACCTAAAAGTGACTAAGTGTGCAGAAGCATTAAATACAAGTGACATAGGCTATCGAGTTGTTTTACCACACATTTCAAAGTACTATAATAAAAATGTGATAATTATGTGGAGTGAAAGTGCCCAATAATAGTGCTCTTGAAAATTTTAATCATTGCCATAATCCAAATTAGTCCTTGACAATGTCTAAAATTACTCTTTAAATACAATAGAAACATTTAAAATGTTCAAATATTAAATGACAGCGGGGAAAACCAACATATACATGATGTAATAACTGCATATTGTTACCCCGAATATTCCATGCTCAATAACTTATTCTTAAAGAAAACATTCTGCATTTTTACACATTTGCAAAATATATATAATTTTCCTCAGGGAGACCAGAAATGTCCCCACAAAATCACAAATTGGAGGTATTACTATAGTGGACATTTGTCCTCCGAATAAAGAGAATAACAAAGATGGCAACTTAAAAGATGGTAAATCGCAGTGCAAACAATCATTCCATGACAGATAATCATATTTTTCTTTTACATTGATCATGTATGACAATGTATTATGCACTGTCACAAAAAAATCTGTCACCGGTGGAGAACCTGTTCAAAAAGGTATGTGTTTTACCATAATTACCTGTCAGGATGTCTATACTGTACATATTAACACACTCTGAATGTGTACCACCCCAGTAACAGCTTTTGTCACTTTTTTCTCCTTGAGACAAAGCATCATCAATGGGCTCTCAATAAGGACAACATCCATCTCAAGCCTTATGTCCACTCTGCAGAGCTCCATTTCAGTCTTACCTCACTACCAGAGTATCACATTCTGCAGCCAAAGCAAACACTGCTTTACCTGTCCAAAGAGCAGAAAACACACCTGTCTGGCTGCGTGCTCAGGGCTGCTTACCAAACCACATCCTACTTACAGGCCTGAACTGAAAGTGTGTTCAAGTGGCTGGGAAAGGGAGATGCAAGTCTGCACCCAAGTTTTTTCAGTATTAAAAGATAAAAAAAATCCTAAAGTGAAACTTTACTGACAATAAAACTGTATGCAAACGCTTTTTTTTTTGTTTTTTGTTTCAAGTTCATTTGTTTTTAATGTTTTAAAAAGTCTCACAAATCAAAATTTAACAATAACACAAATAAACAGCAATAGTGTTTTTACAATAAAAAAAATAAATGATGCACAATACTAATCAAAAACTGGGTCTTGAGGTATACACTCATACACTATGGACTATTTAGCCTACCCAATTCACTTTTACTGCATGTTTTTGGACTGTGGGGGAAACTGGAGCACCCGGAGGAAACCCACACGAACATGGGGAGAACAAGCAAACTCCACACAGAAACGCCAACTAACTCAGCTGAGGCTTGAACCAGCAGTCTTCTTGCCGTGAGCCAACAGCACTACCTACTGTGCCACCACGTTGCCAATACAAATTATATATAAATTTAAAAATAAGTATGTAACAAAATTGTTTGTTTAGTTTTGTTTTTATGTGTGTGTAACACATAAACATAATACATAAATATAATACACAAACATATATTATGCCAAAACTAACTTTTGTTTTGGATGTGAATAATAGCAATTATTCCCAGCACAACAAAATACCTTAATGGAACATCATATCAACATTCTGATGTTTTTAGCATAAATCAAATCAATATATTTGATCCACAATTTTTCAAACGACCCAAGTGGAAAAGATTTTTATTATAAAAAATTATTATTATTAAATACATTTAATAATACAATAATAAATTAATATTTATAACTGTATTTCATATTTCTTAACAAAACATTTTATATATTGTGTAAAATCAAACAAGCTCTACTTGTATCCACGTTTTTCCAACATAAACTTTATTTTAACTAAAATAAAAAGGACAAATGTTTAAAACATTGTAAAAACTATAATGAAACTAAATTATGCAATCAGTCCAGGTCGGTGTCCTCAGCAGCAAACACATGAAGCACTTTTAAACAAATGTTAAGGACAATAATTAAATTGTTATGATAAGAAATACCTTTTTAAATAAAAATTCTGTTTTATTGAGATGGATTGTTGGTGATTGCATAGCTGTTGGACATATTGGGTAGCAATCCATGAACAAAAGAAAAATTAAGACCTGCATTAAAAAGATTTAAGACCTATAACACAATATTTTTAGTAAATGTAACCCTTTTTAAGGCCTAAAATTTTTATTTTGCGATTTAAGACCCCGCGGACACCCTGTTATTTTCATCAATACTAAAACGGTTGTGATATATGTGCTAATGTAAAGAGTGGTCTGCCACACTGTACACATGCAGAGGCTCATGTTTCTGTGTCTTACAGAACTTCACGGATACTTTACCATTTAGAGTTGCCCCTCCATCCCAGGGAGGTTAACCACTGACCTGTGTGTGTGTGTTCACATGTGCCCGTGCAAGAGAGGCCGCTATTAGATGGTGTGTTCAGTGCTTGTGTTTCCATGTGAGTGCTCAGTAGGAATTTCAGAAACTATGTAATGGAAGACAAAGCAGATAATTGGGAATGCAGAAGCTTTTCTAAAAGGATGCATTATTAGATTGAATGAGCTACTTCTGCACTGAACCTCTGCAGCCTAAACTGACACGATCACGTCAGCTTAACGTTCATCATCACCATCCCAAAGAGGGAAAAAAAATCGTATTCACAATCACATTACCTTGTCTGTTCCCTGCAGGTGGAATGACTCCCTTAATGCAATCCAGGGTTTAAGACTAAATATCCATCTTTTCCATCAACATTTGATCCATTGATAATAACACTTTCTTTCCTATCATAATTGTCATCACTAGAATACACTTTTTTGTAGAGTCTCCGTGCAGACAGATTTCCCCATGTTCCTGACCGGCTGCACCAAGCACTGTAACTAAATATACAGTTTCTTTTTTCCATTTCGAAAGACAACACCTTTTCTGAGCTAGACGGGTTACCGTTTAATCAGTTCCACTTTGACCGCACACAGACTTCCACGAGACAATCGTGACTTCCACGTAATCCAAGACTTTAAGTATTACTCCGCTGTAGAAATTTTTAACAGACCACGTCACCAGTAAGACGGAGAACAAAGGGAAAATTTCAGTAGACAATGGCAGAATATATAGAGATATTCATAAAGGGCTGTGAGGTATAATTGCCTAATAAATGTAAATAACCACACATATTACTTTAACTTCCATCACTGCAAAAACACCTTTTTAGCAGTAGTTTGATTTGTTTCAGGTTGGGATATTTATTTCCGGTACTTTGATCCCATGTACCCACTTCAAAGTTTCTTATTTGGTAAAACTGCAGACAATATCAGAAAAGCTAAAAATGGATTTTTAAAAAGGTACATGTCAAAATCATGGTCAAAATAAAGCATATATTTGATTATGAATTGGTGGTATGTTTAATACACAAGGTTGGCACCTGAAAAAGTCAGATCAGTTGATGATTAGATTATATTTTTCTGAAATTACACTCTCATTGTGTGCAATATATCACACAAACCAATAGGCTATTTCACACACAAATCTAATACAGAACAAACTATAGCTGCATTGACATGGACGCAGTTTTTCATCTGTGAGATTGTGCCACAGTTGATTGGGGGTGTCAGGTCATCCCTTTGGATTTGAGATTGGGTATGAGAAATAACCCACTGCATGCTGCCATGTTAACATCAAAACAAACCTAATGTATTTAATCTAAATAAATAAATCTACAATCATTTATAGCAACACTAGAATTAACTCTTCATGGTTGCTAACCTTTTGCTCTTTTTCCTGTGCAGGGTGAAAAAGACTCTCGTTTTTAGCTTTCATCGACTCCTAAATAATACAAAAGAAACCTAGCAGACCCAAGGTTGAGTGGCTCATTAATAACTTGTGTAAAGCAGCCACAGACTGAACGGAACATGCGACTGCTAACAGGTGCTACTCTCAAAAGTAACGGAACAAAGACAGCTAAACACTTGCAAACATTCCGTGCTTCTGTTTATGAAACCAAAAACAAATATGTTGCCGCGAGTTGTGTTGGCTCCTCCTGACAAATACATTGTTGAAGCGGTGTGCGCATGGCATCCTAAACAGCAGCAGTCAATAAAGTGCGTGAAGAGTGTAGTTTATTGAATTCATACAACAGAACTTACCTTATTGTCTATTAGAGAGCTCAGACTGGAACGAACATGACGGAGAGGCAGCATAGGAGGTTTGTCAGTCCCCAGGAGAGTCGCGCCATTAGTTTTCGTTGTGATCTGTTTCTGTCCCGAACTATCCGAGCATCCCAAACAAGCGCGCATCCTCCACGCGTACAGCACGCTGTAGACTGCGCAGCAGCTCAACGCGACGCTCTGATTGGTGCGTCAAAATACATCAACAGCGGCCTTTACATACACTTTATAAATCTGAAGAAAAAGGGCCCACTACAGACCAACATAAACAAAAGAATATTTAGCTTTTGTTGAACCTTTGTACTTTAAATAATTCATTAAATGCGCTGTCAAAAACGATGAGGACATGTTTTCAGTTTTGTTTGTTGCACACAATATATTTTATTGTTTCGTATTAATGAAATATAATAGCCTAATAGTTATTAAATATATCGCTTGGCAACAAATATGATTATATTGCTTACTTAATAACACGTTACCACAGTAAACATAGTGCTACAATATTATGGTTAACTTACTAGCCTATAAAGTGGATTAGCCTATACACTAGTTAGTTTTACAGCCTCTTTTAAGTACTCTCTTAAATACAGCCACCGACAACAAAAACAAAAATTCTTATTCTATAATCGTGATTGTGGTTATTTTGTACAATAATTTTTTTTTATTTAGCATAGAAATCCGTGACAGGATGGGTCACACAAAATTTTGTTTGTAGCCTAATAATCGTTGGGCTATATCGCCATCTGCTGGGCTTAATGTAATAATTCTCCCAAAAAAAGTCAATTCCAACATCAGTTATTTACCCTCCACTTGGTCAGTCAAAGTTTCTTTCTTCTGTTTAACACAAAATAAGTCATTTTGAAAAATGTTGGAAAAGTAGCCTTTGACTTATATGGTGCCTTTTCTACTGGTGTCAGTGGCTTCAAGATTCTGAGCTCCTTTAAAATAATCTTAATCTTAATCTTTTTGCACACCCACAAAAAAAAAAAAAAAAATCTAAACATTTTGCAAACACTTGATGGGGAGTAAACAGATAGCTTTCTCACAAAAAAACTAATTACCCTTTAAATACTTAAATAAAAATGGAACCATAATTAATAATAAGTAAAAAGGTCACAAATTGAGAAAGGAATGTTTCATTATATTATTGTCAATGCAGTTACTTTAAGAACTATGCAAGTTGAATACTTGTAATATTATTGCTGACTTTATCAAATTAATTTGACTGATGGATTATTATTTCACACTGGGTTTGCTGGCCTTGACAATAACTGAGCTGTCTGTGACTTTGGTATTAAAGAATTCAACCATGAACTGGTTCTTCAGTCTGTGGAGGAAGTGAATGTACCGCACCCCCGGCGCATACTTGGAGAACACATGGGAGACCTGTGCACAAAAAAAACACACATTATGTTGACAAGAATATCAAATATTGTTGAAAATTAATGTACACGTGCATGTTTGTGCTACCTTTTTCCAGGTGTGTGAGTAGCACTCCAGGTCCTCTTCAGGGTTATAGGTGTGCTGCTTAATAACAGTCTCACCATCAGCACCCAGGAGCTTCACATCAAGCTGATAGATGCATTTATGAAGCTGGCTTTCCTCATACCTAACCATAAGGAGAAACAAATACACACTGCAGGTCAAATTGCTTAATGTTGGAATTAAAAAAAAGTGTAGCTATGACCACTGCAGACAGACTTCTATGCACATTATCTGTTTTTTTCCCATTCAAGCCATTTGAAATGCGTGTAGTTAAAAGTACATTAAGAACATGCAAACGTTGTTAAAATGGTTTCATTCCCCCCCCTAGTTATTAGAAGTCTGCATAAACTGAAATTGGACATTTTAATAAGCAGCTCATAACTCACCAGTCTTCAATGACAATCTCTGGCTGAAAGTCGTCCAGCAGTTGGTCCCACAGACCTGCTGCCTTCAGGTCCACACACTGCTCTAGAGTGAACCACCTGAGATAAAAATGCTAAACAGTCAGTCATATCAGGCAGACTAGGTGACCTCTTTCTCACCCCAAAAAACATTGACAAGTGATTGTCTTGCTCAGATCTGATTCAAATACAGAGAAACATACTGAAATAGTAATGGTTATGTAACTGTGAGAGGTTTACGGGGGTCTTTTTTGCATGTATAAGACAAAAAAATGTATAATTGTAAGTAACTAGATTCACATTATTAAATACAGTTCTACAGAAAGCAACACAAGATGTACATTTTTGCTACACAAGTTACATACCATTTTGTATATTTATACATCTAATGACCAGTGTTTTAATTTATTTTATATTTTTGTTGTGTAAAAAACTGTGATTAACCTGTGCTGAGGAAGCTGGCAGATCACAACACCGGGAGGAATTCCACTAGTGTCATAGGGCAAAACTTCTGTATTAGTTTTCCAGCCAGAGAAATTACCTACATTTAGCATCACAGAACAGGATAACATTTTCACTCAATTTATTTGCTGTAAAAGACATTAAGAATGGCTAATGGCACACATTCATTGCAAGTTATACATTTCAGCATTTTCTGGGAAGCAAACATAAAGTTTTGGTTACAGACTCACCTTCAGGCTCCAACTGAGGTGGTCGGTCTGAAGGAGGTGGTATTCCTGACCGATGGGGTTCAGGTGGTGGAACAGTGTGGTTCACACCTGGTAAGCAAAAGGAGAAAAAAAGAGAAGAAATTTAAAGATCAGAATGATTAAAATTTTTTTAATTTAACCAAATACAAATATCCATAATTTATAAGCAAATTTTGCACCATTTTTAGGTTATGTAAAACAAATTATGGGAAGCTTATTTGCACACTCCGAATGATTTAATGCTGCTCATTCTATAAATCACTGCACAGACTGAGCTCTTGACATATTTCCTTTATAATAAGAACAACAAAGATGTTATACAGTACAATATCCCCTTTTAGCATCTTGCACAATGTTAAACCAATTCAAGAGCAAAAAGTTTGACAAAGAGGGTCTCCATTCAACATTCAAAAAGTGTTCTTGTTTGGTTCACACGAATAAAAAAAACAAACTCAAATAATAATAAATAAATAAAATATCCAAATGGGAGCTAAACCTGAACCATCTGGGAAGGGGATATTAGCAACAAGTTTGAAATTAGCAACTATTTTCAGATCATCAGTTATGCTTTCAAACTATATTCATCACCAAGACAGTTGCAGCTCATCCATAATGCTGTGCCTAGGATCCTGACCAGAACCAGAAAACCAGAGCACATCACACCTGTCCTTAGGTCTTTACACCGACTCCCAGTTACTTTCAGAATGGATTTTAAAGTCATACTTGTCTATAAATCACTAAATGGCCTAAGACCTCATTACAGATATGCTCACTGAATACAAACCACTCAGATCTTTCGGATCAGATAAACTAGAAATTCCAAGAGTTCAGTCAAAACAACATAAACTGGCCTATTACGCCCCTCGCTGCTGGAATCAACTTTTAGAAATGATAAGATGTGCTCCAACATTATGTACATTCAATTCAAGACTGAAAACACATCTGTTTAGCTGTGCTTTTAATGAAGGAGCAATGTGCTACATCTGACAGTTCACACTATGTCTTTCTTTTTCATTCTTTAAAACCTGTTTTAACACTTTTTAATGTTTGTAATTTTTAAAAAAATCACATTTATTTTTTGTTTTTATTTTCTTATACTTTTCTCTTTTATTCCTGTTTATGTAAAGCACTTTGAATTGCCACTGTGTATGAAATGTGCTATATGAAAAACACTGCCTTGCCTTGCTAATTTCTCAATAGTTAAACTGATTGTGTAACAACAGCAGAAGTCAAACATCAGTGCTACAACCATAACCTCGGTCTTCTCTAGTTCTCCAGCTCAAAATATCTTTTACTTTATACAGAAACAACAATGTTTGAGCAGAGATTTCACCAAGGTATGACATATACAAAGTAGCACCGCCATATGTGAATACGCCTGTGTGTGACGTCATTACCGTAAGGCGAGGGGTTTTGCAGTAGGTTGCGCTCGAACGGCTTCGTCTCGAACACCGATTTCCAGTCCACGGTGTCAGGCATTGGGACACCGTGAGCCCCGAGCTGCCATTCCGAGTCACACTTCTGCTTCCAGTCAGTCGCCATTGCAGAGTCAGACTGTTTCCCCCGTGGTCCGCTCACTGCAGTCTCGAGGAAGTGTTTTATTATGGTCTGCCCCGCCCTGCAACTAACTCAGAACTTCTGAGCTTTCTGCATTTGCGCAAGATACTTAATTGCACTTTACTCACAGGTGAGTCACAAGTCACAGACCACCCCTGTTTGACGATGGTGCCAAGACACTTGATACATTATTTTGAGCAGTATGAGGCATACACTGTTCTTGTCATATGGTCCGAAACGCAGTGGTATCTTTCAGGCACTTTATTGATGGTGTTGTTTTATATAAAGACAGTTGAGGTGGTAGAGAGCATAATTCATGTGCAGCAGACAGACAGCTGAACTGTACCACACCCTTTAACACAACACCATTGGCTTATCACGTCAGCAGCAGAGATTTACTGGCAGTTTGTTGCACTATCCAAATTCAACATAACTTACAGTGAATTGTGTTTTGGAAAATGTGTGTGCATAAATTCATATATATATATATATATATATATATATATATATATATATATATATATATATATATATATATATAAGTTTAACTTTTATTTTGTTAAAAATGTGTACACTAGTCCTGTTAAGAGGTTTAGTCTCTGAGAGAACATTTACTAAAACTTAAATTTTTGATGAGTATATTTACAAGTTAATTAAATTACATTAAGTTACTGGGTTTCCCAGAGATTGGTTGCAGCTGGAAGGGCATCTGCTGCGTAAAACATGCTGGATAAGTTGGTGGTTCATTCCGCTGTGGCAACCCAAGAATAACGAGGGGACTAAGCCGAAAAGAAAATGAATGAATGAAGGGTTACAATTATAATGCGGTTTTTCAAAGAATTACCTAGGGAGGTGTATCAGGCATGTCCCAGTAGGAGGCATTGGGTAGGACCCAGGACACTCTGGAGGGACTATGTCTTTTCTTGGCTGGCGGAGCTGGAGTGTCTGGGAAGAGGGAAGTCTAAGGTTTTCTCCTAAGACTGCTGACGCCGCGACCCGGCCAAGGAAAAGCGATTGAAAATGAATGCATGAATAAATATTTCAAACGTGTTTCTAAAATATCAATGTAAATGACTCTTTATGTATTTCACAACAACCTGGAGCTTAAAACAGTAGAGATGATAGTGGACTTCAGGAGAAACCCCTCTGCTCTCCCCCTGAGCATTATGGAGTGCATTGTGGCAGCAGTGAAGTCATTCAGGTTCCTGAGCAGTGAGCACCACCTTCTCTCAGGACCTGAAATGGGACATTCACATTGACTCCATTGTCAACAAACTTAATCGAGGCTGCACTTCCTTCGTCAGCTGAATAAGTTCAACCTTCCAATGGAGCTGCTTAAACAGTTCTACTCTTCCATCATTGAATCAGTCCTCTGCACTTTAATCACTGTCTGGTTTACCTCAGCTACCAAATCTGACCTTCGAAGACTACGTCAGGCTGCTGAGCGAATCACAGATACAACCCTCCCTACTCTCCAAGAACTGTACTCATGTAGAGCGAGCAGAAAGGCTGCCAAAATCACTCTGAACCCCTCACACTGCCTCTTTACCTATTGGTCAACACTACAGAGCACTGTGCTGCAGAACAACCCGACACAGAAACTGTTTCTTCTCTACATTTAATATCTGTTTGTTGTCCTGTCTCTGTAATTCTGTTGCAGTGTAGAAGCTCTGTCACAAAAACAAATTCTCCTGTGTGAACCTACCTAGCTCTTTCTGATTTCTGATGTATTTTTTGCAGAGATAGGAGTGAAGCCTATATGTAAATGGATTTTTTATATAGTGATGCATTTGTCTAATCATTTTACTGTGGCACCTTTGTGAAAGTAGTTTCTTTCTGAATAAATTTTCCAGTAATCCCAGTCAAAATGTGAATATACTTAGTCTTTATCTCAAAACCTAACTTTCATCAACATTGTACACAATCTTCATTATTTTCATAATCATCTTCACTTTTCCTCAGTAAGCAGATGAAGTAAATAGAAAAATTGTAACCCAGAATGACCCAAGTAACCCTCTTGACCTCATGCTGCGGCTTCTTTCAGGTGTATTACATAACAACTGACTGCTCAACATCTCACTCCCTGTCAGGAGAAATCAGGAGCCCTCCCAAACAAAGGCCTAGGAGTTTTTAAACAATCTTAAGACAAACACCAAACCAGCTGCTCCCACAGGCATCCACCCAGTATCATATTAATCAAATAACATCATTCTAGAGCGCAGGCGATTCACACAACTCCTCCAATGTTTAGTCAGTTTCCTGTGTTGCTTAGCATACTGATGTCCCAACTCTGCAGTTTTGCAACCAGTATTTTATAGGCTGTTTTGAATCATCTTGCCGAAGTAAAGGGAAGTTAAGGTTTCTAGAGCATACATATGTATTTATTTTGGAGTCCAAATGGGGACCCTATGAAATCCTATGAACCACAAACAAGTTCTGGTATCCATATTGTGATGGGCAGCCCAGAACACAACCTCAGGTGGAAATAAAGCTACAGAGTTTAAACATAAACGTCCAGCAACTAAACTACCTTATTTTTTATTTGATTAACTGCTATGAAGTCATGTATTAATAATGTATTAACGATACAGTCGATCATATCGCGTCTTCATTATCACGTCTCATCTACTTCCTTGTTGTTTTCTGACTGCAGGGGCAGCAAGCGGCCTTTAGAGGGAGCTGTTGTGTCTCTGCTCTTTGGTGATTCTTGAATTCTAAATCTGATCTGAAACACAAACAATAACAAGGCAACACTGTGATTCAGATAAATAGTCTAAGTGCTATTAAAGCCACCAATTCACTGATGTAAAAAAAAAAAACAGCAATCAAAATTCAGCCATTTTTCCTTCTTATCATGGGTAAAATATGCAAAATAAGTATATCAAAATAAGCAAAGATATTAAACAGATGCAATTACAAAAATTGAAATAAAATAGTTTGCGTTTAACTAACTGGTTAATTGGGATTTTTTCACATTGATTGTTTGGGATCAAAAATGAAAATGTCGTCATCATTTACTCGCCATTCACTTGTTTTTAACCTTTATGACTGTCTTTCTGCTGTTAAACACAAAAGAGGATATTTAGCTAAAACCTGTAACCATTGACTTGCTTAGTAAAAACTACCATGAAAGCCACTGGGTTTTCAGCCTTCTTCAAAATGTATTATTTTGTGTTTAACAGAAGAAATACTTCAGGGTAAATTGTTCGCATTAAAATGTTTTGTCATTTTTTAAAATAATTTGTTTACAGTATTTATCATCTGCTAACTGTAAAGTAACTAATTACAAATACTCAAATTACTGTAAATAGGTAGTTTTGCTCAGAAATTGCTCAAGGAAAGATGTGTACTTTTACTTTCCCTTGAGTACATTTTTAGTGCAGTATGTGTACTTTTACTCCTCTACTTTCTTTCAACCTGCAGTCACTACTTTATTTTTCCTTGTTTATCGGCATTAGAAAAATCAGCCCTGCTGAAAAATCCAGCTTAAAGCAGTCTAGGATGGTTGGCTGGTCTTAGCTGGTCAACCAACCTGGTTTTAGAGGGGTTTTGACCACTTTCAGGCTGGTTTCCAGCCATTTCCACCCTGGTCTTAGCTGGTCAGGCTGGAAAGTGACCAGCTAAAACCATCTAAAAGTTGGACATAGCTGGTTTTGCTGGACTCCCAGCCTGTCTAGGCTGCTCAAGCTGGTTTTAGCTGGTCATCTTTCAGCCTGACCAGCTAAAACCAGGCTGGAAAAGGCTGGAAACCAGCCTGGAAGTGGCCAAAACCCCTCTAAGACCAGGCTGGTCGGCCAGCTAAAACCAGCCAACCATCCTAGGCTGGTTTAAGCTGGATTTTTCAGCAGGGAGTTCTGTGATTCCTGTCTAATCAAATCACGCATAGAAGGTAAATCATGATGAATACTTCAAGACATGGGCGATTTATAATTGCAGCAAACTGTTTGGAAGCATTAAAATTGTCCATAAAGATATCCAAAATCTTTACACGCATTGACCCAGAGACTGTTTAGATGCATGTCACTGATGAGAAGATGACGGATGTTTACTGCATGATGGCTAAAATGGCCTTAAACACCCAGCACACTTGACATTAACATGACGTCAGATTGCGGGTGTACTCTAACGTCATGGGGACGTTGCATTTTGTTTGGAAATGAAAGTCGGATTGACATCAGAACTCAACGTCAGGCTTTACACTTAAGTACTACAGGGCACCTACTGTATATACCACCTATGCCTGTGCTATAGCACATTAACCACCCTAAAAAACACTGAAGAACCATTACAGGTTCTGTGTAGGTTATAGCACTTAAAGTAAATTGGTTCCCCATAAGATTAGGAGCAAAAAAATAAAAAAATAAAAAATCATGATATCTGAATACTAAAAAAGTTTTTGTAACCACACACACACACAAACAATTCACATGACTGAATTTTAATTTATTACTGAAATATGACTAGCAATGCTGTAGTTGTAATGGAATTAATTGTTAGCATTTTGTCTGTCTCTGTGCTATAGCTGTCTGTGTGTTTCTTCTAGACAGAATATGTTTTGACCGAATGACTCGACTATGAATCAGGTTCACCATGTTTTAAAAGTGAATGCAGAATAAAGTATCTATTATTTTGAATATAGAGTTTGTAGTATTTAAAAAAATGTAATGTTGGTCAGTAAATTAACTATTTGGTTGATTGTGTGATTTAATTGCTGTATTAAGACTACATTAAGTATTGGTTAATGCTTGTTAGCAATTGAGAAAAACAGTGAGAAGGCAAGATGGCGGATAGAGCATAACAGTGTTTATATGCTCCCACACAAATCAGCTAATTACTAAATACAATTTGATTCAACCTCATGGCTTTAGACATATTACGTCTCTGAATTTTTTTTTTTTTTTTTGGCCAAATTTTTCTGAAAATGCCTCGTAGTGAAAAGAAAACCAAAAAGAAAGAATCTTACCTAACTACGTCACCAGAACACTGTGAGTTAAGCAACTTCATGGCAAAATCATTTCAACAACTGACAGAAATAATTTCAATAACTTGACCCTGTCACTGAGCTCTTAGAAATGAATTCTCAACAACTGTAAGACTCGGCTGGATGAGGCCGCACAAAGAATCACTGTGGTGGAAGAGTTAACCGAAGGCATGCAGGCCCGTGCTCTCATGCTGACAAGTCAAGTTGTGTCACCTACTGACCACATAGATGACTTGGAGAACAGCAAAAAACTGTCATATATAAAGTTAATTGTTTATAAAAAGAGAAATTCTGTATCATTCTATAAATACTATGTTAATTTTTGTCCATTTCACAAGGTGGAATCACTGAGCTGCACATCAGTACCTTTAATCTTATCCCATTTCACACAACACATGCCAGATGTACACATGATACTCTCCTTATGTACTTATGCATGCGGCTAGACTGCAGTTAGAGATGTGAAACCATATGAACCAGGGTGTCATAATAATTATCAGTGGATGTCTTAGCAGACTCACTCTACTAAGGGGAATATCACTCTCTCTCTTCTTGTGCGAGTACTTTCCATGAAGTGGCTAGGAGACCTTTTCTTGGAGGTTTTGGCTGCTTTTGCACCTAGTTTGAAGTAATTAATCACAGAACTGGAGAAAGTGCATTACTTCAATCATTTCAAAAGCATAGTAATAACAAATTCCAAAAATTATAGTATAATATTGAGAGTTAGTTTTAAGCTATCTCGCGTCCCACCTGCAGGATCACTGAGGCCCACCGGTTGAGGATCCCTGATCTACAATAAAACTGGGGAGAAAACTAGCTTACTCATAAAGGTAGCTCACGCCTAGTTTAAATAAACATACTTGGTTGAAATATTGTGTGTGTGTGTGTGTGTGTGTGTGTGTGTGTGTGTGTGTGTGTGTGTGTGTGTGTGTGTGTGTGTGTGAAAGAGAGAGAGAGAGATAGAAAGCATCAGACGCTGACATGGGCTGCTGGAGCATCAGAGAAGAGTTCATTAATATTCATGATCCTTCCAAATATGGTCAAAACCAACCTTATCAATTTAGGGCCAGTTTCTTGGAAATCCATATAGTGTCTATTTAAATATAAGAGAACAATTTAACCTACTGTATCAATTTATTCTGTGGCACCTTTAAGTGTCACCTTTGGCACTGTAGTCTTATGCTGTGTTCACACCAGATATGGAAGAAGTGTCAAGCGCGAGTGATTTACATGTTAAGTCAACGCAAACGCGCAAATAGACATCCTGTGGTGCGGGTGACGTGAATTGCGGAAATGGCGAGATATGCGCAAATGGCACGTCGCGAATTAAGCGTTTTACGCAATTGACATGCTTAACGCACGTTTCGCATGAACCGCTCGAGTTTAAAAAATCTGAAGTTTAGCGGACATTCGTGCCGCGTTAACCAATCAGGAGCTTGCTCTTGTGGGGGCTGATAGTGACTTAGTCCCTGTTGTTGATATCCCGGGGGAAATCCTCCTGCCGACACCGACAACAGTTCATCAAACTGGGCCCAGCTCAGTTAGAAACACAGCTGAAAGCTTCCATCATCCAGGTTAAGTTTCTGGAGGAGTTTATGAGCTCACAAACATAGTCCCGTGGACGTTTCTGGAGACCGCGAATTATGTAGCTGGAGGTACGTATGGCTGAATTTCATTTTATTAAGTGAATGCTACAGGGCGGAATGACGTTGTTCCTTTTGGTGCTTACCGGCTGACCGCTTACCTCCGTGTGAAGGGCTTTCCCACCGCAACCAGTTTATCCAGTAAGCTCATCATGTTCATCAGCAGATTTGAGATGCAGAGAGGAGTTGACCACGATGACGAGGACGAGCGGGTACGAGTCTGGGGAAGAACGGTTCCAGAAATCAGGTAAGACAAAAACAGAATCCAAAAAATAAAATGAACAACAGAGTGAGAATGTGGTAAAATCTGAAAAAGTGGTAAAAATCAGATGAGGGCTTTTCTTTTTCTGGACAGCCTTTGTAAAGCGTGTAAAATTGGTTGGGTTTAGGGAAGGAGGAGGGTGGGTCAGTCGATTGGCCGGTTGCCCAGTCAATCATTCAGTCGATCGACAGCAGCCTCTGGTGGGTTTACACGAGAACCCATCGCGTGGGTGCGAATGGCACTCGCCAGAGACATTTGAGATACGAAAAAGTGCACACAGCAGCCTCTCGTGGATTCGTTACAGTGGAATGAACCTCCAACTTACCCAGCATATGTTTTATTCAGCGGATGCCCTTCCAGCTGCAACCTATCACTGGGAAACACACATACACACTCATTCACATACATAAATCACAGACAATTTAGCATACCCAATTCACTTATACCACGTCTTTGGACTTGTGGGGGAAACCGAAGCACCCAGAGGAAACCCACGTGAATGCCGGGAGAACATGCAAACTACACACAGAAATGCCAACTAACCCAGCCGAGGGTGGAACCAGCGACCTTCTTGCTGTGAGGTGATCGTGCTACCCACTACGCCACCTATTAACCTAGTACTAGTTATAATTGGTGGACAGGTTTTTTACATCTCAAAAGGCAATGGGCTATGACTGTGTAAAGTTTAGTTTTTTCATGAGGCATATCTTCAAAACTCAAAATACTAACCCTTTGAACTTCTATATTTGGTTTGTTATTTGAGCTGTAGTGTCTGATTTTGTGGGAAAGGTCCGTTTGAGGTCATTCGTCTTTGCATCTGTAATAAGAACGACCCCATTACTATACCTTTTATTGCAATTATTTCAGGATTTTTATAGAGAAGTCAGTTTGTTTATCAACAATACAAACTGTCAGATGGCTGCTTTTATTACTGAAAATGTGTAAGTGGCAATCATTGCAAAAACTGAAACTTGATAATTTGATTTAATGGTCTTATTATAAGCACATGATTTAAAACATTTTATATAAAAATTTTAGAAATACATTTTATATTCCTTTTTTACTTTAAACCATATTAGTTTCTGTGCAACACTCTATAATGATTGGTAGTCTTTGCACTATATGATAATCACAAACATTCACCAATTTAACAAATAGTTAAGACCTCCCAGACACAGAGAGACTGATCAAAGGAGGCCCACTGATCAATTTCAACTAAGGGGACCTTACCAGAACTCCCAGTCACGATATAAAGAGCAACAAGTGAATATAATGTCCAGGAGCACCAGAAAACTTCAGCGGCAGCCCTGCATGCCAAGTTCTGCAATTAATCTTAAGTGTCAAATCGTGATTTATTTCAACTTCACTGATTGAGCTCTTTGCTGAGTCAATGCAATACAACCCCGAAAGACAGACAGAGAGATGAGGAGTGGGATGGAGGGGAGTTAAAGAGCAAGAGAGAGTGATATGGGTCAGAGAGACAAAACAGAAAGTTTAACAAAAACATAAACAGATAAAAACATGCCTTTACTTCCAACATATGCATTATCCAGTCACAAAATAAACAAGCCCCCTTTTTTTTTTTTTAGATATTGCCGAAGTTGCTTTAGCACAACAGGTTAGTATTAGAGAGTTAGCTCATGTTTCATATGTTCTCACACATTCTAGAACAAACTGTCCCATCAATTGATGGACAAATCCAGTCCTGGCTTGCAGTGTTGGCCTGCATTTAGGCGTCTGTTCACAAATGCAATTAGATTTATTAGTGCATAAAGTTGTACATATTTCATTCGGCAATACCAAATATAGGCAGTGTCAGACTACAATATGAACCGCAAATGAAATTCCACACGCCCAAGGTGACCTGTGAGACCTCCAGCTCATTCCACCACCCATCTGTCTGTGCAAGCATTCCAGTACTCAATGCACATTTGCATTGTGTTCCTAAAAGAGACAAAACTAAAAAGTGCAGAAAAGTGCCAACTAGAACAGACATGTACACATGCTGTACCTTAAGAACCAGTCTTGGCTGAAGGTCAAATTGAGTGTTTAGACTCAGGTTACCTGCTGCCCTTCCAAAGGCCAAATATATTATTAGCCATTGCTGCTGGTAACTTACTACTCTCACTAAAACTACAGGACATGACGATGACATGGAGTCCCCACAGATACACAAAACAAATAATTGTATATAAAGACTGTTTGGCACCCTTCCTGATTTCTTATTTTTTGCATGTTTGTCTTATTTTAATGTTTCAAGTCATCAAGTTTATAACAGGTTGTTATTATAAATGATGTTATAATAAATATTATATTATAACGTCTGTTAAAGCATACGGGTATCGCTGTGGTACAGCATCTAGTGTATCACACTTAAGTTAAATTTCTCCAGCCTGTTGCCTGATTACTGCCATACCTATTCGCAATCAAGAAATCATTTAAATAGAACCTGCATGACATAGTGAAGTAGACCAAAAGATCCTCAAAACCTAAAGATAATGCCAAGATCCAAAGAAATTCAAAAACAAAAGAGAAAGAAAATTATTTAGATCTACAAGCCTGAAAAAGCTGAAAAAGGGCACAGCGTTAACTCGTCCAAGAAGTCACAAAAGACCCCACAACAACATCCAAAGAACTCAGTTAAGGTGAGTGTTCATGACTCCACCATAAGAAAGAAGAAAAAATGGTTTGGATGGCAGAGTTTCATGATGAAAATCACAGCTGGAAGAAAACCAAAAACAAACATAAAGGCTTATCTCAGTTTTGCCCGATCTTGATGATCCCCAATACTTTTAGGAAAATGTTGCAGACTGATGAGACAAAAGTAGAATTTTTGGATGGTGTTTGTCCCATTACGTGTGTTACCATATTATCAGTGAAACGTGGTGGTGGTAGTGTAATGGTCTGGGGCTATTTTGCTGCTTCAGAGCCTGGAAGATATGCTGTGATAAATGGAACTATGGAATAAATGGAACTGCTGTGTACCAAAATATCGTAAAGGAGAATGTCCGGCCATCTGTTAGTGACCTCAAGCTGAAGCGAACTTGGGTTCTGCAGCAGGACAATGATCCAAAGCACACCAGCAAGTCCACTTCTGAATGACTGAAGAAAAACAAAATGAAGACTTTGGAGTGGCACAGTCCTGACCTGAAGCCAATTGAGATGCTAAGTGCTAGGGCATGATCTTTAAAGGCGGTTCATGCTTAAAAACCTTCCAATGTAGCTAATTTACAATAATTCTGCAAAGATAAGTGGGCCAAAATCCACCACAGCACTGTAACAGACTCATTGTACAGTAAGTTATTGAAAACGCTTGACTGCAGTTGTTGCTGCTTAGGACGGCCCAACTAGTTATTAGATTTAGGGGCAAACACATTTTTAAACAGGGCTATGTAGTTTTGTATATTTGTGTGTGTGTATATATATATATATATATATATATATATATATATATATATATATATATATATATATATATATATATATGTGTGTGTGTGTGTGTGTGTGTGTGTGTGTGTGTGTGTGTGTGTGTGTGTGTGTGTAAGAAATCCGTAACGGGCAAACACTCTTTCACACCACAGTATGTCTTAACCGATGGCTGTTAGATTTCATTAGTAGTTACCTAACCGTGCATCTTACACCACTTAGTGACTATATTTCTTAAAACATGATTGTTTGACAAGTGAGATTTTAATGTTTTTTTATGGTAACAATGGCCTTGATAACGTATCTCAATGGCCTTGATAACGTATCTAATGCACACAAAAAAGCACAAAAAAAAGCTTTTTTTCAAAGCTTTCCGTCACTTTTGTGTTATGCAACTGTCCCGTAGTAGCTGAAGCTGTAAAGAGAGTCTGTTCTTTCACTGTATATGCAAGCACACTAATATTACACAACCCACCCCCTCTCTGACATGCACACAATTCTGACAGACACCACCTCACAGACCTAGAAAGATTAGACACCTAAACACCCTAATGATAGAAATCATTTTAAGAATTGGAAGGTGTATGTTATATTAATGTTTCCTTAATGTTTGATAATGAAAAAGTAATTCTATACTTTTGGAAAGTGTCTTTTATTGACGTCTTTAGTAAATTTAATAAATATAGTGTATGAAAAAAAAAGTACTGCTGGCAGATTCTTTGCCAGACATGAACAACCCAAATAATATATCACTGAAGTTACTAAATGTGTATGATTGAATAGTTGTTGTTAGGATAGGACAATATTTATACAAGACAAAACTATTTTAAAATCTGGAATCTGGGGGTTGCAAAGAAATCTAAATATTGAGGAAATTGCCTTTAAAGTTGTCCAAATTAAGTTCTCAGCAATGCATATTAATGAAAAATTTAAATTTTACATTATTTTTCAGTAGGAAATTTACAAAATTTCTTATTGGAACATTATTTTTAATATTCTATTGATAGTAGTAGAATATAATGCAATGCAAAATAAAACTGTTTCAAAGTCACAAATATCAACAAAAGTCCCTTTGGTAAACTTTTTATCCTCAAAAGTTATTAAAGCATCAAAAAAATCAAAGGTTTATGAATGTAAACAAATTGTAATTATTTAGAAATAAATGTAAATCCATGAATCACTAACTAGGGCAAGCTGTTAAGTAACCAATCTTTTTTTTTTACTTTATATATGCAATTTATTTCTGATTTACATCTGAAAACTGTTGTAGGATGCATTCATATCCTAAAGAGAGACTAATTTGGATTGTACAGGACAAATAGAAGACAGCTGTGTGATGAAGGGGACGTGGGGTGACACCAGAGGGCAAGGCCACGATAGGCAAACCCTCCCCCTCCCCCTAATATATCCAGTACAGTCATGGATACTACACCCTAACTGACCAACAAGTCTTATATTAATAATCTTTAAGTCTACGTTTGAAACTTATGCCAAGAGCCACACTGAATTGCAAAGTCAGAGTAATAAAATGAAACCAAAAAACATTTTTAAATATACTTGTCTCTGTGGCTTAATCTTTGCTGATGTGTGTGTGTGTGTGTGTGTACTTGACAGCTGCTAGTGAGCATGTGCACCATGACAGGCCTGTTATTCACACTTGGTGCCATGTTGGAGACTGTTCGGCCAGCTATAGTTTTCTTCACAGAGTCCTGGGTCACCTAATGTCACAAGGAAGAAACATGTTACATGTTAAAATGTTACATTCAAATTGTAATGCATTACTTAACGAAACGCATTACACAAGTTACAGCTTAAAAGATTGCTAGACAGAAAAACCAGGGAGGGGTTTTCCCATAATATCCAGTGAGACTCTAGGAGCGGGAACACTAACAGGGCTCCCTGAGTGAGAACATTGCATGTGCGCGTGACA